AAAAAAAAAGAGGAAAAAAAGAAAGAAAAAGAGGAAGGAAGAGAGAAAGAAAAAGAGAAAAAGCAAGAGAAGGAGAGAGAGAGAGAGAGAGAGAGAGAGAGAGAGAGAGAAAAGAGAATGACAGAGACAGATAGAAAGATACAAAAAGAGGGAATGAAAAAGAGAAAGAAAGAGCACGAGAAAAAGAGAAAGACAGACAAAGAGAGAGAAAGAGGAGAGGAATCAAAAAAGAGAAAAAGCAAGAGAAAGAAAGAGAGAAAATAAAGAACGACAGAAAAGACGAGAGAGAAAAAGAAATACCAGAAAGATAGATATAGAGAGAGAAAAAATAAGAGAAAGAGAGAGAAAAAAAGAAAGGTGACAGAGAGAAAAAGAGATGAAAGAAATCAAGATAAAGAGCAAGGAAAAAAGAGAAGAGGTGAGAGGGTGAGAGAGAGAGAGAGAGAGAGAGAGAGAGGGTGAGAGAGAGAGAGAGAGAGAGAGAGAGGGTGAGAGAGAGAGAGAGAGAGAGAGAGAGAGAGAGAGAGGGTGAGAGAGAGAGAGAGAGAGAGAGGGTGAGAGAGAGAGAGAGAGAGAGAGAGAGAGAGAGAGAGAGAGAGAGAGAGAGGGTGAGAGAGAGAGAGAGAGAGAGAGAGAGAGAGAGAGAGAGAGAGAGAGAGCGTGAGAGAGACAGAGAGAAAATTCCTCACTGAGGATAAAAGCAACACACTCAGATACTCTCAGGTAGGGAGACACACCTGCAGCAAACAGCTGCCAACGGCTTTCCCGTCACTGTGTGTGCGTGTGTGTGTGTGTGTGTGTGTGTGTGTGTGTGTGTGTGTGTGTACAGAAAATGAGACTAACCTTTAAAAAAGGTCTTGAATTTATTCACCCGCCACCCAGAGAACGCATGATAAAGAAATGGAAAGAAGGTGAGAACAGGAGGGTGAAATGAGTCATGCAGACAGAATGGGCAGTTTTTTGGTTTTGGAAACAGTCACGTGTGGGAGCACCTCTCAGCGGGGCCATCCCCTCCTTCAGCATAACTGCATGACGAAGTGTCTGTTAGCAGGTTGTCTTCGCGTGGGACCTTTAGAATTCAGACCGATTCCCACTGCACTGGTGCTGGACGATATACGGTCTCTATCAGTGAACTAGTACTGGTTCAACATCAGTACTGACTTTTATCTTCAGTGGTACTTAAAGATAAATTTACTTAACTGTGATAAACATCATAGTTGAAAAAGCTGTTCAAAATAAAAACAATACATTTCGGTCTAGTTAACATTCACAGTATCGTGTAAGGATCTCGAATGATTTTAAGAGAAAAAGAACAAACCAGCTTGATCAGAAAAAGCTGTGTCAAGTTATTTCTTGCACTGTCAGGCAAGACGTTTTAGCAGAGTATCAGTCTCAAGCAGCTTCATCGGTTCATGAACTTTAGTAATGCACATTTAAGCTGTTCACACTCAGCAGATTTGGTTCGATTAAAATGAACCCTGCTGCAACTGCTGTTAGTACTGTTCGTCAAACACAAGTGAGAAGGCTGCCTGAGGGGGTCTTGGTCCACTTCCAAACACTTACTAGTGTGGTTCATTTGAAGTATGACTGCAATATGAACCGAAGACACAAGATGAACTGTCGTCTCCTCGCTGCATCCCATGTGCATGCGTTTATCTCTTCATAAGCTCTGGACGGGTAATTATAAAAGGGTTTCAGTTTAAAACATGCCAAAGCTGTTGTAAATTATTTATATATTACGTCTGGCTAAATGCATTAGAATATTACAAAACATAAATAAAGCCCACAAACTCAGCTAGGCCAGAGTACAGCATGGTTCCAAGAGTTTGGCAGATATTATCCTAGTTACTATCACCAAATGTACATCACAAAATCCATCCTCCCAATCAGCTGTGTCCTTTTATCCATATGACTTTTGTTTACTCCCTTCGGTTCTGTGTTAAATATGTCAATTTGAACCTGCAAAGAACTACACCTCAAATGCAACGCTGTTAGTACTTTGGTCAAGCTACAAATGTAAACACACTTTTAAATTGCTGTTGTTGGAACGAAACCTTCTCCAAAATTGTAACTTTACAGGAAAAGTAAAAAACCTACTTTACTTTTAATGTAAGTCTAAGGAACCAGACAGTTTTCCAAGTAATTTCAGGCAATTTCTTTTGGTCCATTCATCATGAAATGTACACACAATGTAAAGGCCAACAGACATATTCAAATTATGTCAAAAACTGAAAATAACAAAAGTGGAGATACAATGTTTTCCTCCAACAGCAGCGAAATACTGTCTGATAGTATGACATATTTGGAAAACATTGTGGTACCGAATTTAATCAACCAGCACTATGAATACTGGAGGTTATTTGCTGAATGACACTATATTGTTAGTGTTGGTACAAAAATATCACATACAGCGAAAAAAAAAATTATTTTGGTTTGTTTTTTGTGTTACATAATTTGAGGCCCTTGCAAGCGGTAAGAAATTTTAAATAAAAGTTAAATAAAAGTTAAGGTTGTTTTCCTTCTCCTATAAAAGTTTTCATTTTGGAGATATAAGGTTTTGTCCCCAACGCACCAATTTACTGCTTCTGCATCGAAAACAGTCACTGATTGTGATTTGAGGAATGTGACTGTGTATCTTCCCCCCCTCAGTTTTCTCTCTTTTCATGTAGCTTGAAGCAGTAGATTCACTAGTGAGCACATCTGACTGAACAATACAGTATCAGGGCGGGTGATCAATACCACACATTATCCAAATTTAACCAGCAATTAGCTGGAGGGCTGGTGTTAATAGGGAACCATTATCAAGTGTGCCTGTGTGCACGGTAATGGAGGTTATAAGCAGGTCTCTGAGGATCGGTGGCCCACATTCAGCACATTCGTGCACCATATTCGTGACTGTCTTCTATTCGTCAAACACGCAGACCTACTTTTATTCCCCACAAAGGAAGTGACATCAGAACCACGCTCTTGCTTCCTTTAGCACTGGAAGAACTGAAAAAAATATTTATAGGTCAAAGCCCACGATATGACTTCATCGAAACGCTGGAGTCACTCAGATCACTTGGTTGGGTAGGCTGCCCAACTGGGTGGGACTTTTGAAAAACTTTTGTAGGGACTAAAAGGGACAGGACAAATGAGCGCATCAGGAAGTCTGATCTGGAAGATATTTTTCAGTGCTGAGACTGCATTAAGCAACGTTACACGTCCCAAGAAATATATTTATAGGCTTTAATTTCTCAAAGTACGATTTCTTCCTTTTTTCCCCTCTTCATTTATGTTTGTGATGATTTTTATCTATGTCTGTTTTCGCTTTGTTGACTGCTGACATGCCTTGTAATCAAGTGCACCTTGAAGATAAACAAAGTTCAGTTCTGTTCAAAAGTCGACTGAAAACTTAAGCAAAAAGTGAGGATTGTTCAATAAGATCCTCCCTGACCTCTTTTCCTATTGAACAAGCATGACTTTGAGGTAGCGTTATCTGCCTAACTGTGAAATCCTGCTTTGTGAAACACTCCTCAGGTCAGATGAGCAATGTGTTGACATTTGTAACTGAGAAATGTTCTGAACACCATGTGCTGCGAGGCATCAAATCAAAATGTTCTGGACAAGGAAGAGAAACGAGTGCAACACGAGTGTGTTTTTGTGAAAGGGTTTCACGTCATCTGATGCCTTTAGATTCATTCTGGCACAACCAGCATCAGCAACGCAAGCCAACCAATCAGAAAAAGACTGCATGCGACACTGCCCAATCAAATAGTCTTAAAATGACCTTTCCAATTAGACAATGACTTCCATACCATATCCCCTACGGACCACCCAATCGTCTGGTGGTCCCCGCCACAAAGAGAAAGCGCTGTTTTTCATAGCACACCTCCATTCCCCATCGCCAACCCTGCCTCAGTGGAGCACAGCACAAAGCCTTCCTCGCATGACCTTACTGACAACATGCCTTTTGATGTGCTGGCCAGCTGACCAGAGAGAGGGAAAAACTATGTAGAAAGCAAAAGTGAGAACAATAGAAAACCAACAATGGAAAACAATGGACCATGAGTGCTGTCTTCCACCCCCCCTACCCCCCGCCATATGCACTCATCGCCCATGATGCTCGCTGCTCAATTCAGTTCGGTTCAGTTTCGATTCAGCTGAACGACAGCAGAGATGATCAATGCTCAGCTGACCACAGGCTGTACCGTTATCTGCCTGTCCTTTCCCCTCCACAGAGTTTAAAGATCCCCACCCCGACCCAGGAGAGGACAGACACTAAAAACAGCTCTCATCTCGACCCAGGGGAGCCACCAGATCAGCCAATGCAAAACACAGCCACTGGAGATAACTGCAGAACATGATCAATAACACCCACTTAGACCACTTTGCTTTCTCTTTCTTTTCTTTTAAACAACTCTTAAGCAGACAACCAGAAGGCCTAATCACGAGAGCTGAATACACAAGAACGCCAAGTCAAATACAAGATAATGCTGGAACAAAACAGCTTTAAAACCATCAGCACAGAATATCACACCATGTCATTTGCTTTGATAAAAATTAGCATCAACATATTTAAAAGGATAAACAAACTTCAACAATGTACAAAACTTTCATAGGTCGTGACCAGGAAGATAAAACTTAGGATAAGCACATTTAAAAGAATACACAACCATAACAATGAGACTTTGTAATCAAGAGGATTGTTCCAAACTGACATATCGCTGTTGTTAGGAGAAAAACCTTGTATCTCCAAAATGACAACTTTACAGGAGAAGGTAAAACCTACTTTACTTTTAATGTAAGTCTATGGAACCAGACTTTTTTTCCAAGTCATTTCGGTCCATTTCTTTTGGTCCATTCTTCATGAAATTAACATACAATGTAAAGGACAATATGCATTTTCAAATCATGTCAAAAACTGAAAAACGAACAAAAATGAAGATACGAGGTTTTCTTCCAACAGCAATGATATTCATGTTCAGAGGTGTCTAAATAGATGTATCCAAGCTACTTACCCATCCTCCTTGTTCCTGGATCCAGGGCTGGATATGGTTGTCCAAGTAGACGGTCATCCACTCTGCGATGCGTCCCACGAGTGGGCTCATCTCCTTTTCCACACACTCCACACACAGGGCCCCACCGAAAGCGAACAGGCCCACAATGCGGCCCCAGTTGACGCCGTCTCGGAACACCTCGTCCATCACGCTCTCGAAGCTCTGATACGCCGTGGCTGGCGTGATGTGGAGCTGGGAGGAGAGGTCGCTAAAGGCGCGTGAGTATCGCAGCTCAAACTCGTTGGCCGAGTCCCGCAGTGCTTCCTTCACGGCGTCCAGCCCTCCGGCCCCGTTGGACCTTCTTTGGGGGGACGAGGTGGGCGACCCCGCTGGACCGTGACTTGTCCCATTTACGGATCCATTGACGACTGCCGTGGGCGTCACTGCCGCCCCCTCGACATCCGCCTCTGCCGCCTGACCCCCTTCAGTCCGATTTGTGTCTTCCATAAGCCCGATATGGTTACAGGGATAGTTCCTCTGGGAGAGTTTGTACTTGATAAAGTACACAACCAGTTCTCTGTTGTAGTAAGACATAATTGAGTCCTGCTCAACGTTCTCTCGCGCTGGATTCACGCTCTCTGCTTGCTCGTCGCTGTCCGCAGAACGGCGTGCAGACCCTCCCGTCCTTTCTCAAGCTTGTGCCGTCACTGGCTCTCTCATCACGGATCTTAAAGCAGGCTGATCTCTGATCTTCATTGATTTCTTCTGCTTGTTATCCAGCATAAACAAACACAATCAAGGATGGTGCAACGGCTCACAAGCTGCGGTTAGAGGACACAGATGAAGGAACGATTAGTGAGGGAGGGCTCACGCACACACAGAGACACAGTTTCCAATAACAGAGGAGGAGGGGGTTCGAATGAAACTTAAAGAGAGGTTAAGGGCTATTGTAAATAACCAGCTTTTTTCCTGCTGCTAAACCCCTCTTACTTAATTGGGTGTCTTACACAAATGCAGCAGATGGTAGCCTCTCATCACCTGCCTCTGATGAAGAATAGGGGGAATAGCCCCCTCTCCCCCTTTTCATATGGCTCAGAAGAGCAAAGCAAATCTACACTGACCTTGACACGGGTGAATTTAAGCAGCAGGGGGTATGAATAGCCAGCGTGGCTAGAATTATGATTTACTCATTTGATCCAAGCTGGACAGGAGGAAACATGGCTGCAGCAAAAGAAACTCAAACAAAAGAAAGTGGGCATATTTGTCCCCAAACCCAATAGGGGATCACGAAACAACAGATATTTTCTGTTGACTAATAAAACACAAACAACACATATATAATAATTAGTCGTGCATTATACTTGTATGCTGATATAAATTTTTTTTATTTTAATTATTCCTCGTTAGGAAACTGTGACGACCTTATGTGGCTGTAAATAATAGACAGTAAGAATGACACGAATGTATTTCTTGATAAATAGAGTCTATAGAGACAAATGCAGACTTACGTAACACAAAGAGTCGCAGTTCTGCGTAAAAATCTGTGTACACGAGGCAGCAAACACGTGGTCGCTACTAACAACAGAGCAGAGTCTCGAGGCACCTCAGCGCTGTACGCAGTCTTCAATGTGGAAATCAAACAGCTACAGGAATGCAGTATATCGAAAAGGAGTAGGCCAGTTATTTAAAATCCGAGGAGATTTCTTTAAAATGACTACCTACGACATAAGCTGTAGACTTAAGTTCACGTTTCGTGTAAATAACAACAAATCACACGCCACCAATTCACTTCATGATCAGACCAGATCACCTGGCCTGAAACGTCACAGAATTAAAATATCTGTTGGTCTGATTTGTGCATAGGCACATCCGCAAAAGACACGAAAGTCAACAGGAATGCGTGCCTTTAAGGCCATCACTGTAACAGGAGCTGTTTCGTGTCTCACCAGAAGCATCTGAACTATTTAAAACAAATAACGCAGCTTTAAAAACACAGCACACACTTGAGAGCTCTGGCTTGTTTGACCTAAAGCAGCCAGAGTGACTGACTGTCATTTACAAATCTCCCACAGACACCCGAGAAATAAACCCAAACACATGCCACCCATAACACATGTCTACTCTGGACACAACCAGCTCACTTCATCCCCAGTGCCAGTGACGTAGCTACAAACTACAAAGTTTGAAGGACATCCGGCTTACCATACAGAAATCTGCCCAGACTTCAGACAACACCACAAAGAAAACAGCTCGTCTGGTTCTTCTGCTGTAACAGTTACTCGGTGGTTCAGCTGGTGGATAGATTTACAGTAGAAGTGTGAGGAAGCAGACAGAATGAGGAGAAAACGTCCTGCCCCGCCCCCCCGGCTCTGTTATTGGACTCTAGAACTCCGTCGAGCCCCGCCCACACAGCCATTACGTAACAATAGGAAACGTCCGTCGTAGATCAGCTGTAGTTATTTTAGCTAATAAAACCACAGAGCGGACCCTGTTCTGGGAAACTAATGTCACCAGACCACGTCCACAAACGCAGTGTTTTACCCCCCAAAATGTACCGTGTCAACGAACCAATGAATCCCAGCATTTGTTGATCTTGCGTACGGGGTCTTCGGTTTGGTTATACATGCAGCCCAAAGAAGAAGAAACCTTCCAGATGTCATGAAATGCAGAGAGAAGTAACCTAGGTTGGCTGGGTCACCTAAGCTGGCTGGCTAGCGCGACGAACGTGAACCGCAGTGTTAAAACCGAGAGCTGAATACTCCAAAGCCTGATCAATGTATTATGTATAAATATCACTTACTGGAACGTAAAGCCTTCCAGTAACGCTGGTAGCTAACCTAGGTAAGCCTCCTTGGCTGCAACTACCTGGTTGGGTATTATTTTCACCGATTTGAGTTCGAAAGCTAAACACGTAGCTATCGTTGCTGTACTATTCCAGAAGCTACTTTAGCAAACAGCTAAAAAAAACAGCAACTTCCTCCTGAATTGATTCCCAGCCAAGAACGCGTTTGCTGTGCGGTTCTAGCCTAGCTCGCTGGAGAACTACGTCAAACGCAGGCTCGGGCTAACAGGGCTAGGTTAGCTAAGCTAGCGTCGGGGGCATTAACAGGAACGGGCTGGGCTTTTGGCTACACGAGCGACGTAATTCAGAATAAAGGATGGAAATACAGCACAGTCAAGGATAATATCGCCACAGCGCCCGCTACTCACTCAGATAATTAAGAGGGTTACGTCCCAGGCCCCTACATCATCGAGAAATCCAGCACGGCTCCACTCAGAGAGCGACTGTAAGTCCGACATGTCTGGCGTAGCTCAGAGAAGCCCAGCTGAAGGCTCGGAGAGCTGTGCTAGCTCCTGCTAGCTCAGAGACAGACTGGTGGACGGAAAGCGCATGCGCACACGATGCCTGCGTTTTTCAGGCTGCTGCTCGTCAGCCTCTCTTACCTTACAACCCCAGCAGCAGGACAGAAGATGGACTTGTTTGTTTTTTAAGAAGTGTTTGTTTTTTAAGTATTAGCTAGTGACATGTCATGGTCAGAGGAGTCGAAGTGGACCAGCTCGCTCTGTGGCTGCACAGGTTTGTTTTTTATAAATGTGTGAATGTTTTGGTAAAGTTTCCAAAACAGCCGGTCTCGTCCTGAACAGCGCTCTGAATTTCCGTGCACTCACCGATCCGCAACTTTTGGATGACTTCGAGAAACAACGCAGCTTCCAGGCGTGTTTTGTGTGGGCACGTCTTGTGACTCGACTGCGAAGAAGCCAGTTTACTTTAAACAGCTGTATGTTAGTTAAAAGTTCCGTAAAACCCAACAGAACCTCAGCTCGCCTAAACAAAGACTGTCAAAGTCACTATGGTAACCTTTGTTACCCCTAAAAACGGTCTTGTAGTTCTATTCCTTGCAGTTCAGCGCTGAAGTGGAGCGCCCCCCCACGGCGGGAACACTCAACAGCAACTCCCTTAATACAGACTTATCGAAATGGATCACCTGGGTTTGTCCAAGAGATATGAACATCAAACCAGCGTGGAAATGAACCTTGAACAAGAAAATGTGCAACTGTGCAGAACTGAATTTTTATTGATTAATTCACCAAATGCCTGGAAGATTACATCACAATGTGTAGAGCTCCTTTTTCCTTTATTTTACATGAAAACTTTACACTTTGTATTTCTTTTTACTGTATATATATTTATATTTCCCCATACTTGAGGGAGGCAGAGTGGACATATATAGTTGCGAGGGAAGGAATGCTTTCAGAAAATATTTAAAAGCACTTCATAGAATTAAATACATCCGCATAAAAATGCATCCAGGGCTTCATACGCTCTGGTAATACCGAGGCTCGATACTGCTAGATTTAAGTACAAACATGTCTGCATTGTACAGTATATGTATTTCTCTTTGTTTTCTTGGTTTAGCTTGGTGTTGGTGTGACAACACTGGCTGGAAGATAATGAAGCGCGTCAGCTGACTTATTCATACTCAAAATCAGGAACCAGCTCAGCTGAGGGTTGGTGTGGAAAGAAAAAATTCTGCCTGCCAAGCAAATATCTTTAACATGCTTTAAACCAACAGCTGTTCACCACACACCTGCAGGTTTACTGCTATGTAGAAGAAAAAAAAAATTCAGGAATGCTCAAAGACCTCAGCTTTTCCCTAAATGTAGACCCAGCGGAACTCATTTCATTCATCTTTCATAGGCCCAGCAAATTGTATGCGCTTCATGCAGGGAAGAGTAGTGTACTGCCGAATGAGTGGGAACTCCTGGAGGGAATGCTAAATGAAATCAACAAAAGTGTTTTTGAGAGCAGCCATGTTACATCACCCACGTTCCCAGGCCAACACAGGGCCGGCTACATTTCACTGAAAGAGCCCTGAACTGGAATCGGCCTCCTCTCCATCTCCATGAACATATTCAATAGAATATGAAAGGCTCCTCATTCAGAACTCTTACTGTTAAATGTCTGGTACTTACAACCCAAGGCTACTAGTCCTTTAATCTTGTGGAGCATAAATGCTATGTTACAAAGAAAATGTTTGTAATAAATAATGTATAAGGTATGCCTAGATTGGGACATCCATAATAATATGTTTTTTTTTTATTTACCAGTAACTAAAGCTCCAACCAGAAGCTACCAAATATCACAGCCCAGGAACTCTAACTACTATAGTTTAATGAACGCTGCCTCAAGAGTCATGGAGCTGTTACAGCAGTATCCTACCACGATTCCTGACTGGGGTTTTAATGATAAGTCTCTCTCCTCTTCATATAGGCACAGATATGCAAATCTGCTATAAATTACAAGCTTGTAAATTATGATATTTGAATTTTCTTTCAGCTCTGTGCATTTGGATATCGCTGTTTGTTCACTTATTAAAATAAGGACAAAATAATTCAACAGATAAGACAACAACAAAAAAAAAAAACAAACAGAAAAAAACAAAAACAAAACACAAATCAACTGACCCACAAACAGGAACAGGATACACAACAGTACTTTCAGTAAATTATCATTGTTGCCATAATCCCCCTCCCTTTTAGAATGTAGGACTAATATTATTTAACTTGAGCCACATCACTGAACAGAGAAGAGCCCTGCTGGGTCACACGGAGCCGTTCTCACTTGAAGGGGAGCTGAGAGGTGAAAGATCAGGAGATCCAGACGTGGAGGGCGACTTCGGGTGAGCAGAGTCAGCATCAGCTTCAAGCACTCCTGCACGGTCCTTCGCACCAGAGGAGGGCCACGCACGCTCCAGCTCTCCCGGCCCCCTCCGTTCCCAGTTCTCTACCGACATGGGCCCTACTGTGCTCTACGAGGCCGGGGCTCGTGCGGCTGCCATTTCAGGAGCGGCGATGTGGAAGACTGAACCGATGCGGAGGAAGAAGCGGCGCAGGACGGCACGCAGCTCAGGGATGAGGTCGAACTGCATCATCTCGCACAGGTAGGGGTAATAACAGGAGGCATGCGGCTTGAACTGAGGGAGAGAGAATGTGTTCATTAGGGCTCCAAGTATCGATCATTTCTATAATCAACTATTATTCAAGTAATCAACCAGTCAAATCATTGTGCATTCTTCAGTTCCCTCCAGTTCACCATCATTTAAAGTTCTATTTGTGATGAGTGAGGTCATGGTCTATTCTGTACTCAGTGACATGCACAAATAAGGAACTACCTCACTTGACAAAGCTTGCTGGTTTGCAAGCTGTATTTTGGCCAGTCTGATAATTTCAAATAAATGTATGAGTGTTAGTTTGCATTTAAGCATGTAAAGTAGCAAAATTCCTAATTTCACTACTGATGACAGCCTCAAAGCTCACAGTTTACAAGTCACATGATAATTAAGGGAAAGATATATTTATGACCAAACAAACAGGATTTGGACCTTGTCACGGTGGTGGGTGATTTACAAAACCTTTTGGACCCAGGGCTCGTCCGGATGCTCATGGCAAATGTGGCTATGTGATGATGAAAAAAACCTCAGATGTCTATGGTACAGCTAAACAGTGGAAAGCAGATCACCCCCTACACTATCTGTAGTAGCAGAGAGTAAAGCACAAACTAACACAGGGTAAAATCTAACATGGATAATTTTGTGTAGTAAAACAGGCTGAAGTAGAACGCACTGTTAGTTATGGTCTTGTATCCCCACAGCAATGCCATCTGCAAGCTGTTATTTCAATCAAGCAGATTTCTCGGGATTGTCCCCTAAAGACTGTTTTTGTACCATGAAAGTAACTTTTTCCATCAAAGTCATTGAAACCACATTTATATTATTTTATTCATCCTCTCAGTGGCTGTAATAAAGCACAATTTTGAGGCATGTAAATGCCTCACAGTGAGAGCTAGCCAGGCTTAAGTACAGCCTCCACATGGTGGGGTTAGTTATAAAGCAGAGTTACAACTAAGGCTCCCAAAGGAACAATGGGACAAGTCTACGTGTCCCATTTAAGAAAACAGTCAATATGAAATTTTTAAAGCACAGATTCAATCAAATAACTACAATTATGTAAATAAAATATTGAAATTTTATTGTGCTGATATTTGCTCCTCTGCTTTGTGCTAAATAAATAAACAGCCTCTAATCTAATCTATCTATATATTTTTTTTTACAAATAAATTTGTATGAATTTAGGTTGGAAAGCTCATCTGGTTTAAACAACATAGAACTATTGAATATTGTAATATGTATTGAATTAATTTCTTGTGTTTTACATCCAATTTACCAGACTTTTAAACAAACAATCTAGATATGTTACAACTAATCCCACAAGCGGGGATAATTATAACTTTTGAACTCACTTCGCTTCAGCTGAATTGTTCACAAACAGTAGGTATTAGAAAGTTTTTGCTTTTGTTTATAGCAGAGCTGTAGGTTGCTTGTTTAAAAATCTAATCTAGCTGAAATACTCTGAAAACTATTCAAACTCAAAAATGTGCCCTGTTCTCAAGCTGTCATAAATACTGCTTTACAGATTTACTGAACTTTACATTTTTTTAAAACCAATTGAAATGTAGAATATTTTTGTCTATACTCAAACTTGTGACACTAGCCTTGTTTACAATAAAACGTGTCCCATACCCGGATGTTGTCCATACATGCATTTAAAAAGACGTGAAACTGCGTGTGATGGGAAGGCGTTGAGATCTAGCTGTGCTGATCCTGAGGCAGAACACTCATTGTCACCAGACCTTTATGAGTGTCAACACAATGCAGCAAGCTTGACTACATTCTTAGTCTGACACCATGTGGACTCCACCCACAACTTTTAATATCTAAAGCTTATAAGCCATTAGACACACGTGAAGGACAGTACACAATTTACTCATCCCAGCTGCCACCCATATTTTTATTTTGACTTCAGTACTAAGCAAACATACATAACTCACCATCTTTTCTTTCTCTGTAACTTAAAAGCCTAAAAGAACAGAGAATAGCTTGTAGAATCTACATGTTCACATTACCAGGTTGAAGTGGCAGAAATTTTTTGCCCTAATGTGACTCAGATCTAATGTTTTCAGGGCTGTGTGGACACACAAATCTGATCTTTTTAAATTTGACCTGAGTCACTTTCATATGTGGTCCTAGATTGGATACGTATCCAATTTGTGGCCATGCGACCTTAATGTGATGCTCAGATTGGAATTAGTTTGCTTTTTTTCCACTGCGCGTGCGCCATCATTCAGTGTTACCATGGTAGCAGCACTGAACAGAAGTTAAAGCCTGTAAACGGTAGAAAAGCAACACATCTCACCTTTTTCGCCTTCGTCTCGCTCTGATAATGAACAGCTAAGAGCTGTTCAGAGTTAATTATCTTCTCTGCGAAGCTCGTTCTGCTCATTAGTTTGTTTGATGATGATGCA